TTCAATTATTTAAATGGGAGTATTTGCATTTCTACCGACGACAAAAACATAGTAAATTACAACTCAGAAACAAACAAAAATCAGACCATCTATACGATATTTAATTACATTTTAACTAGTCATTAAACGATGTGGTTGAATGTTATCAATGTAAACCGAATGCTCGAGAAGAATGATTTATTACTGACACCGACAGGGCTTCAATTTTTAGTCGTGCGTGTTAAAATAACAGGAGAACACGTTTCACACAAAATACACAATCATTTACAACTGAGTCTAGTTTAAACACATGTGTTTACTGACAATAATTTTGTCTTGATTCGTTATCTTCTTCTTGTGTTATTATTTGCGTTCTATTTAGTAACATAATATCATCAACTTTTGGACAACTATGCAAGTATCGCTGTAATTCAGGTTCGGAACTGACCCAACACGACTGAATAATAAATAGTCTGGAAATAGACTGGTTAAATATTAAAATATTTTACATGTGACATGTCAAACTAAAACGTATGCGTTTTGCACTTTATTCTGATAATCAATGGATATTCGTGGACATAAATAAGCAAAACAAAAAGAACCTTTCAGAAATAAAAATATGCTTGAAAACCGTATGTCAACAAAAATAGACAAAACCCAAAAAAAAAGAGAACCATATTTTTTTTATGAAGAAGCAAGAATATACTTAGCAGTTGTAATATAAAAAGTCATTACTAAAAAATTATGCTATTTTTATTTAAAAAGTTGTCTACACTTCTTCACCTGCAAACATATTTTTAATCAAATACGATGTAGAACAAATCAATAAAGTTAGAGGTTTAAATCACAGGTAACGCGATTCTGAAATCAGTGAAGCGTAATTGTCTAGTAGCACAGATAAAGATTAAAGGACAATTATATCACCGTTCACACCTGGATCTGTTGAATAATGACCATACTACCTACCATAAAAAAGTCGGATTATTCATTTCCGACATGTCCGAGTCCGTCATTTATAGTAATAAGTCTCTACCTGTACTGTAACTACATGCAGAATTTACATCAAAGCTAGTTAAAACAACAATCACGATTTTCAAACACATAACAATAACACCAAGTTTAGCTGTGTAAACACCATATTAACAGTAATCATACATAATGAACATATAATAATTAATCATCATATCAATTTGAAACAATGTTTCATTTTAAAATTTCCAAATTTTTATTTATGAAAAGATATTTTGATATCAACATTTTAAAAACATCTAATAATTCATCAGGTTTTTGAATAAAAAAGAAAGGGTGCGAACGTGTATTTGGCGCGAACGAACACGATACCTTTGCAAACAAATGTAAAGAGGAATTAGTCATGCAAATCCAATCTTTTGCTATTTAACAATTACAAATATAAATTATCATGTGATTACAAAATAGTTTGATCGTTTTCGTGGATGTTTGCAATAAACATGAGCGGCAACAGATCGTTTACAATCCTTTTCACGATCATCAAAAAGTTGTACCCGATCTTTGACGATCCGAAATATTCTATTTTTACAAATATTTCCTTTTTTGCAAGGTTTTCGACTAAACTAAAGTTGAATAACTTTAAGAACAATTTTAAACAGTAATTTCGAACGACATTTTCAAGAGAAAAGTAGTTTATGCATTCAAAATATGAAAAAAATCACGTTTGTTTACGTTTTTATTTCTTTGAAATTTCGAATAGCAATCTGCCTTTTGTAGTTTTGTAAAAACGGTGTATTTTAAACCTTAAATTTTCTCGGATACTGGACATAATGTTGAACCATTTTGACAGACGGTATTATTTTTCCAATCTTTGTCATTATTATTTATTAAATTAGATTATTTACTGACGTTACATCTGTCTTCTCGATAAGATTTCCTTCACGCCTATACCAGATCATTCAAGATCCAACCGCAATACTTTACCGTTATTTATTCGTTCACGATAATTTTTCTCGATAAACCGAATGACAGCCGTGAAGACTAGTACTACTCTCATTACTTTTTAATCTATTTTTGTGAATTATTGCTGCCCTTCGATCCATTGTTGGTCCATTTCGGAACATTATTGTCCCATTTTGGTAAAAAGACTACGACGCATTAAAACGACACAATATTTGAATCTACAGAATACGACAACAAAAAATAAAAGCGAAAGTTAATCAGATTATTCTTTCAGACGAATCAGTTATTTCCTATGGGTAATATCAAAGATAAACAATTACATTATAAAATTCTTCGTTCTCAACGTATAATGTTACAATTCAATTCAATGTTACCGAATCCCATGATTGACTTTAAAACTGTACTGTTCCATTGTTATAACTTTCAATGATAAACAATAAATAAAGTTTAAACAAAATCATTGTTTAAATAACTTCACTCTGTATTCTATTTTAATTTCAAAAGTATACTAAATACGTTTCCCGGAGAGCCGACTGTATTACTTGTAGGCCAAACATTTGCTTACTTATAAGATGTGTTATATTAATATACCTGTACGTGTCTATAAATAAAAAAAAAATCTATTTTATTTTTAGAAATTAACCTGTGATAGTATAAACGTCACATAAAAAACGTCACTTTTTGTGACGTTGATTCATTTATATGACGCGCAGTTTATATTTCGTTTGTGGTGTACTGGTGTGCTGTTGTAAATTCATGGGAGGTGTCCGTTGTTATTCTGCGGTTTACATGTTGTAATGTACTAATACATTATTTATTTATGTATTTCTCTGTGCTGAGTGTTCTTGTGTTTGTTTGTACTGTATTCCTGTCACGTAAAGTTATCATTTTAGCGGTATTTTTAACATTGCCATATTAGGGGGAGGTTTGGCTAGTCATAAAACCAGGTTCATCCCATCATTTTTCTTAAAATGTCTTGTACCAAGTCAGGAATATGGCAGTTGTTAACAGACAGTCCGTTTCTATGTATGTTGTTTTCCTCTTATAGTTGATGTGCTTCCCTCGGTTTTGGTTTGTGATCCGGGTTTGTTTTCAATTAATCGACTATTGAACAGCGGTATACTACTGTTGCTTTTATTTATACTGTGTGACACAAAGAAGGTTGTCCATGCTTTCTAAATGAAACAACGTACCTGGCAACAATAACTAGATACACCCTTAGTGTATAGATATTTCTAATGTTTTACACTAAATAGTTGCGATACCTAGTTTCTTTTGATAATGCATCATTATCTGTCGAACCCGCTTTCTATTTATTCTTTACGCTTGAAGTTTTGAAATTTTTGAAAAGGTTCCTGTTAAGGGTATACACAATGTACATGTTAACCACGCCCAAACATGCTATATAGGCAAAGGGGAGGTTTGTGTGCAAGTAAAACTGGTTCAACCCCACCACATTTTGTGCCTGTAACAAGTCAGGCTATCTGAACCATGTAATGTTCACTGGTATTGTTTGTTTTCTTTGTTTGTCCATTTTTTTGGGGGCGCATCGGTGATCGCGTGGTCTAAGCAGTTGAGACGATATCAATAACACTCTTCAAAGATTCCAGGCTTGCAAATCCAAATCAAATACGAAGATGAAAGCATTAAAAACCCAAATTCCGAAAAGTTGACAGACAACAAGATTAATATAAACCATGTATTCCCAAACTAACAAGTTTTGTATACCATAGCTGGGTGATATTTGATAGAAATGTCTTACTTTGTAAAAAAAATCTTCAAACATACCAGGCTATAATTTAGTACGCCAAAGAACGATGAATATTGTGTTTAGAAAAATTGCATTCATTCGCTCATTTTGATTGTTTACATTGGCAATCATGCCACATCTTTTTATTTTATATCAATGTTTTGCAAAGTACTATTTAATTATTACAAAAAAGGCAGTTGCGGATTATGTGCCTTTGAAGTATTGAAGAAAATGAAAATGTGCTTTCAAATTGAGACTTTGCTCACTTATTTATATACCACCATATGTAAGAAGGTATGCCGTAGTAACTGAGAAAAAATGTTAGGAGGATATTTTAAAGATATGTATATTTCGATAAACAATAACTAGAAAATCGAATGAAATAAAAACGTTTCACGTGATTTTGCATGACTAGCATGACAAGCTTGGTGCCATATATCAAGATACCATGACTTGTAGTTTCTGAGAAAAATGCAATAAAAATGTTTTTAGGCCAGACAGACGGACATACCAATAAAATGTATGAATATGAATTGGAAAATGGTAAGAAATGTCATCACTGCAAACATATTACGATGTAGTGAATATATTTCGATTTAGTTGACACTTCTATGCTATCATATGCGTCATTACACACATTCATTCATTATTTCTGATTAAGTAAGTTTGATAGACAATTTCTCGAGAGTATGCATCATCTATATTGGAAAATTAGCATCTCCAAAAAGTCAAATTTTCACGGAATTCCAATACACATGGTCATTATGGACGCCCAATACAGTGGGAAATCTAGTGACAAAATGTTACTTCCCCTGTAAACACTAAAAACTAGATCTTTTCAATGTTTGTCCCATTTTAGCAAGGACGCTACCAATTATAAATTCACGGGAAAACGTTCTGATAAATAATAAAAATAGAAATAAACTGAAATAAAAACAAAGCTTCCATTTAATGTTATCATTTCCCTCCTTAAAAAGAAAACGACGAGTACAGCTGACTAAAGAAGCTTGGTGTAAAATTGGTTTAAAATGTTGTTATGCGAATAAATTCCTGGAGTACCAACTTCAATTTATTTTTTCATTGGCTGCATACCTCTCTGAAACATGCTAATTATCCGTATACATATGCAGCTAGATCAGAGAAAGTCAGGTATAACATCCAAAAGAATCGATTGATATGCAGCAAAGATTGTCACTTTTGAATTAAAGTAACTAAGCAAATTCAAACGGACCTTATCCCGATGTGAACATCAAATGTGAAAGACCGCAAATATATGTAAAAAAATCGAGAAGATCTTTTCTTAGAATTGTATAAAAAATCGTAAAAAGATTCCTTCTTTATAAGAATATTTATCTTTAGTTTTTTAACCTGCACAGACAGACTTTTTTATTGTTATATTCATGAAATGACAATATTTCTACATTGAATTTTCATGTGACAACATCAGACCGGTGTACTCGAAAACTTTCTTTTGTTCTTTTTTACTAGATTTCCCACTGCAATACGAAAACTGTACATAGTTGTTGAGAGGCTTGCCACGACCAGCGGTATTTTGAACATTGAATTCAAAGCATGGTACAATTATGATTAAGAAGCAAAATACGTTTAATTTGCACCTCGGCACAACAGGTAATTTGTTTTTCTCATCAGTTTGACCATCGACTGCACATTGTAGGGTTTTAATTTTACAGCGAGTGGGCAATACCAAGACTAGGTTGATAAGTGTATTCGTATGTTTTAAGAGGAAACATCAAACAATAATGATTTTCCTGATTCATTACACACGAGAAGAAGGTTTTTGTCACAATTGTAATAAATAGCTACTGGTTTGTGAAGTTTGTCTTCTTCTGACAGCAAAATTCGGGAATCTGTTCCATTTTTTCCAATGAGTATTACTGTATTATTTTTTCTGCATGTCACAAAAGTATTACCAGAATTATCGTTTGCAATGCCGAGTGGGAAACTCGATTCTTGACAGTCAAATTTCCAATGTACGTTTCCATTAAAATCACAACAATATACTTCATTAGTAGAGTCTTGTGTCGCAAAGTAAAGCCTATCATTAAACATAGAACAATATGTTGCAGGTTCGACTAGTGATAATGTTGATAAAATCTCACCAGACAAATTCAAGACCTGCACCATTTTATGATCACAGCAAACATAAAATTTTCCGTCCTTAAAAACAATCCCGAAACATCGGTTGGTTACTGGGAATGATCGCTGAATTTCGGAACGATTAAGATCTATTACAACGACTTCTTTCCTCTCCACTAACGTCACAGCAACCAAGGTATTTTCTATTACTGCAGCATCATAAGGCTCGGTTTTAAAATTTAGATATTTCGCACATGTACCATTCCGCTCCCTTAGCATGAGTTTCTTGTTTATCATATCGACTAATACAAGCCGTCCATCTGCCAACATATCACAGCCTCGTATAATATTTCGAGGAAATGTTTTAAGCTTCTTTGGTATCCTTACTGTTTCGATATTCGCCAATTTAACTCGGTTTACTAAATTAGGGGTTGGAATAAAACACTGCATTTGTCGATCGTTCTCAAGGGTAAATCTTTCATAATTTGAAAACGAGATACCTAAAATCCCAAAGTCTGTTATCGCATTTATTATCTTCTCTTGAATCAAATTTAGTTTTACAGTCAGCTCAATTTTGCCTTCGTGAAAATGCTCTGCAGTTATTTCCGTTTCATATTTTTGAACTTTAGAAACCCATTCGTTAATGCAAAGAAAAGTCTGAAAATCAGATGCATGTTGTTTGCTTTTTGCTAATTCGTTCCCAATTTCGCCTACTGAACTTTGCATTTCATTTAGGTTTTTGATAACACTTTTAGTATTTTCTTGATGGACAGTCAACTGGTTAAAAATTTCTTGTTTAAGTAGATCCAAATGATTATTGACTATTGTTTTTACACATTCAACTTCATCAATGAATTCAGCATGTTTACCTTCTATGTGTGTTTTATTTTCGTGCTCGACTTTAACTACCTTTCTAACAATTTCCAAGACATATTTCACTCTATTTTCTAAGTCTTGGAATGCAACCGATTTCTTAACGTTCTTCACTATTTCCTGTAACGGTTTGAGTTCATTGCATTCTTTATGTTGCCCTGTGATACAGAGCTTACATAGGGGGAGACAATGTATCTGGCAATAAAATTCAAACTTTTCCTTGTGAACTTCACATTCTTGTCGAATATTTGAAATAGAGTCAGGTAATAACTGGAAGTCTTTTATAGCTATTGTTTCATGATGCCTTGTCGCTTTCTGAACTTGATGTTTTTCCTCACATTCTTCACATTTCTTTTCCACACACTCTGAGCACCACACACTGGCAACACGTGTTACATTAAGTTGCAGACAAATATCGCAAAACAGTTTGGGTAACTCCATTATAGACCTGAATCATAAATGATTTTTATGTTTACATCTATTTCTGCAAAAATTGAAAGGTGAAATGTATAACAAACCTGCTGATAAAAGAGCTACAATGTAACAGAAAAACATGCGACAGAAAGAAAACAAGAACCAAGCAATAATGCATAAAAGCAATACAGAAAAAGGAGTAAAACACATCTGACGTAAAATCTCATCAAACGCAATATAAATTAAACATGCGTGATTTTGGTAATGTGTAATCTTAATTTATTCACATACGCATGTATTTTTTTTGAAAAATTTTGCTAATTCAACACTGATTAGATGTGGCTTATTGAAGTACACAGTTTATTAGTAAACTTTTTTTTTATTCGGTTGCTCCTTAGTAAAATTACTTAAGGGGTCGTTGGTATGGCAGGGTAGCTAATCCTATAATTCAAATGATATTAAAGAAATGAAAATAAACACTTTATCAAGTTTGTGAGTCAAACCCCCTTTTCTGTACTTACCTTGATAATTACCTTTCCCGAATATGACCTACCGATTCAGACTTATTACCGGGTTTGTACTAACATGAGCAACATAACGTGTGCCACATGTGGAGCAGGATCTGCTTACCCTTCAGAAGCAACTGAGATCACCCCAAGTTTTTGGTCGGGTTCGTGTTGATCAGTGTTTTGTTTTCTATGACGTGTTTTGTGTACTATTGTATGTCTGTTGTTTTTTTTTTCAGCCATGGCGTTGTCAGTTTATTTTCGACTTATGAGTGATTGTCCATTTAGTATCAATTATCAATCTCTTTGATAAGAATCGCTCAAACCCACAAATTTGAAAGCCTATGCTTTATGAGAACTTAAATTCGCTAGGAGATATATGACCAAACGGGAACTAAAAATTCAAGTAATAACATTGATCTTCGCAAGCAATATCAACATCATAGACGTTTTCAGTAGCTTAATCTCACGACCATACCCATACGTTAAAAGGCGTTTTTGTTTCTACAAATACTACGACAGAGAGGTCAGAATTTACTCATTACAGATACCAGGCTTTTCAAATGTTGTTCGGCAGACGCACATGTCGTCTACCAAAGACTCATTAGTGACGCTCAAGTTTAAAAAGTTAATAGGTCAAATAAAGCGCAAAGTTAATTTTGAAAGGTTTTGCCAAATACAGAATAGAGATATCTTGGTGATAGGAGCAGAAATCACTTGCTTAAAAAATATTTTGAAAAATACATTACTTCTCCACCAATTATAATCAAGGATACTTTTATAGAAAAGAAGGCAATATATTGAATCAAGATATAATTGATGAGGGGCCTAAATAATGATAAATCACAAAGACATAATTCTATTTTAATCATTCTCATAATATTTTTTATGGGGATGATTCAGATTTAATCGATATTTTATATATTAGGAAATGATGCAAGATGAATTTACTCGTACATTAATATACCAGCTCAACAATGCATTTTGATAATTATCAATAAAATTTGCACCTACAATGTAAACTGCCTATATAGATAATTTGTAAACTGCGTAGTATAACATTATCTGTTCTGCGCAAAAAACCATTTCATAATTATTCATGTGTTATTATTTTAAAGAATAAACGTTGTTTTGAACCGTTGTAATATTATAGGAGCACTATGACTTTCAATAAAGACAGTAATGTAATCATTGTAAATGCACAAATGACTGTAGACAAAAGTAAATTATAGTAATTGCATAAACAGTGTTCAAACCACTTTTTTTTTTCTTAAAATGTCCTGTACCAAGTCAGGAATATGGCAGTTGTTTTCAAATAGTCCGTTTCTATGTATGTTGGCGTTTGTTTTGTTGTAGTTCAGTGTTTCTGTTGTTCCATTGTTTTCCCACTATAGTTGATATGTTTCGGTTTTGGTTTTTGACCCGGATTTGTTTTCGCTTAATCGATTTACGACTATTGAACAGCGGTATACTACTGCTGCCTTTATTTATACAACGTATGTTTTCTAATACCCAAATATGAGATTTATGTTTAAACTTTATTGTATTGTAACGTCGACGTACGTGAAATGTAGGTTTTGATATCATAAATTGATATATTTCGACTTATCAGATGTGAGTTTTGGCCCTCAAACGATATTCCATTGACAATAAAAAATAGTCGTTAAAATGAATTGCATAACTTTGTAAGAATGTAATTTATTTACTGAAGTGTATTGATTGCAAGTTATTTTAATGTGCATATTCCGAAGTTGGATAAAGAAGATACAAATTAATGTAAAAGCAAAAATGAATAAATCGCATAAACACCAACCAGAACAATTGGTATCGTTAATGTTATTACCAGCACTAGGTCGATACGATAACTCTGTTGGTGGACTGTTAGTCCCCGAGGGTAGCAGTAGCCAGTACTTCGGTACTGGCATGAAAATACGGATATTGTGTTACAAGTATAAAAATGTGCTGTTACAAAATTTTTAAAATTATTTTAAATTAAGGAAATTTTTTCATCATGCAAAGCTCTGATTTCTTGCCCAGCTTTGGTGTACTTTATGTCCTTTTTTGGTTTATAAGCTATTAATATTTTTTAGTTTAGGATTTTCAAATAAGTTTGCCTCGAGAATCCCCGAAGAGACATTTATTGTCGAAATGTTCATCTGATGCAGAAAAAATAGTATCAGGTACTACATTCCCTCTCCATGTGATGGTGGTTTGGACCACAGGATTGTGTATGCGTCAATTGTGGTTGGATTTATAGGCTCTATTACCGCTGCTGGCTAGCTTTGCAGGTAAAAAGGAAGCCGAATGTGTAAGTCTAAGACTATTTGCCAGTACATAGCCTCTACACTATTCAGGACGTCTACAATGCCTCCTCGCGACAGCACATGTAACTAGGATCTAGCATCCTAGGCATAATTGTAGAGGATCTCGGAGCAGCAAGGGCCACAGAGATGCAGCGCGTAGGTCCATCAGCGTTTGGACATGCCCTTGCACTCATCAAACTTGCCCCAGATATGGGTAAATAGCATTACTGCCTTGTGTTTAGATTTGGGAAAATCAAAGGCTATGGAAGTAAATCCAGAAAGAAAATCCGGGCAGATGGAGCTCGAAAGCCATGGCAAGCAATCGACTATGGGAAGGAAAACTAAGACAGCAAAACTCGATCCTGCAAGTAGTAGGTTTCTTGCATGGCTAATCACTAGGCAGAGTAAACAATAGCTGATTACGGAAGCCAAGACACATTAATCCGGGCCTCAAATGTCGACAGGCCTGAAAGAAGAGGATAGGTAATGTAATGTAACATTCCCTCTGCTCCATCTTTTGACGTTTACATATCTCAATTGATAGTTTAGTTTCATAGTTTATTAAAGAAAATTCAGCCGCAGAAGACTGCGTAACAGGAGCATATCATACACAATATTAATTACAACATAGTTCATAATACAAACAGTATACATTGTTGAATTATACATCTTCAGAAATAAGTCTTTGTTTATTACAGTTTTAAATTAGACAAGCATCTTTTCTACCTTTTGAATAAAAATTGACAGCTTAGACAGCATATATCTATTACAATATTTAAGCATGCCTAGTACTTTTTTTATATGCGGATATTTTAAATTATATGGAGGTATGAACTTCCCCCTTAAATCCTTAACTTCACAATTGGTACATTTACATATATAGTGGTATACATCCCCAAGACCAGCTTTACAAAGTGAACAAATTCTCTCATTTCGCGGTGCATTTCTCCATCTTCCTGTTTCGATGGGAAACTTTGTATTACATACCCTTAATTTACATATATTTACTCTATGACCCCGCCTTAATTTTAACAGATATGGTTCTAAGCAAAACTCTTCTTTAAAGTGTAAATAAAATCCCCCCTTGATGAGGTGTTTATATCAGAGAACCATTTTTGAATAAACTGGTCTTGGAGACGCTGCCTTACATTACTTTTATTATAATTATTATCAACTTGCCCCGGAATATTATATAATTCACAAAAGCCACAATAATTAAACACAGGTTTTACATAGTTAAACCACTTGAAATTATATCCTTCATAAAATTGAGAATGGAAATGGGGAATGTGTCAAAGAGACAACAACCCGACCATAGAACAGACAACAGCAGAAGGTCACCTTCTGAAGGCGTCCTTCAGCTGGCCCCTAAACAAATATATATACTAGTTCATGCTCATTTTATTACCAAAGTAACTTATACAAGTTACCCGATACGTTACCCTAGTTTATGTTTAACTATATATACAGACTTCATAAGCAGGGATGTACTCCTCACACAAAAACTGTTCCCACAGTCTTATGAGGTAAAAACACAAGTTTAAGGGTCACAATCACGAATTGGTTGACCGATATGATATATCTGTGTTTAAACACCTTTTTTGACATGTCTTTGCAGTCTTAGATCTTTAGATACCAGAATAGTTGTCTAATCTGTAATTTTACCAATTGTGTCATATTTCCGATAGTGACATTATGACTGAGTGTGGATACGCATGGCGGGTGATGAAAGTCAAGCATGAGATGCTTACCAGTTCGACCGACCTGGTCTCGCTCCTTTTAGAGTTCATGCGATTCAGTTTTAGTTTGTTACATTGATTTGTCTTCTTAACTAATTGATGAGATTAAGACATCGGTAAACTACTGTTGCCTATATTTATGTAGAAAAAATATCTGAATCATAGACAAATACAAATGAACCTTCCTCAGAAAGACATGTTTAAAGAGTAAGAACAAAGACTGGTCGTCTCGGAATCAGAATAATATGTCCAGGTAAGGTGACATGTTTTTCTGCGGACTGTTACCTTGTGAACTAGCACGTTCAAAAATCCGGCTCAGAGTGTCGGTCTAGTACAAAGCAGGGTAAATATTCATATTACATTAACATGTTCTTGTCCTGAATACGCATATTAATTTGCCGCTATACGTTAAGCAGCCATCTATCATCATCATCATCAATTAGTACATTTAGCTAATAAGCTATTGATTATAGTATATAATTTTTGGGGCTATTATCTTGTTTTATCTTATCTAATAATGTGGAGAGTTTAACTTTTATTAGACAACGGCCCTAAAAGCGTAAGATTGTGTCCAATTGTGTTCCCATTTTGAAGATATTTTTCCAAACGAGTTCTCGAGTATCGCTCGGTAAAACCAACGAGTACTCGACTTGTAATTCTTTGCGGAGTTGACATCCCTAATAAGAAGAATATGCTATGCCTTACTACATTGAAAAAAGTAATCAAGAATGGTCGAAAACTAGTACAGAGATACTTATTTACTGTTAAAAAGATCTTTGTTCTAATCATTATTGCGACTGTGTCATTCATAGATGAAATATGTCATATAAATGGCTTATTTGAGCAATTATGCACAAAATTTTGTTCAAAAAGATGACATATTGCATCCGCTTCCTTTTCACTATATTAACTAATTGCGCAACAAAGAATCATTTATATATTTAATAAATATAATTATATTCATGATATTGTAAGCTTTATAGTATAAGTGGGCGGACAACTTAAGAAAGGTTTATTATCATTCATGTCGGTACCGAAATATCGACTACTGGGCTGATGATACCTTGACATTTATACAAAGGTAAATACTATCTAATGGGTTAATCGTTATCTCGTTTCGATATTCTCCAATGCAACTATCCCCCCCCCCCCCCCCCCCCCCCCAATAGATCCTTTTCGTAGAAACTAGAGTATATCTTAATCAAACGGAGTATATGTGATAATGATGTTATGTGTCAGAACCATTGGCGCTATCATATCTAATTAAAACTAAGACCATAATATACATGTTCGATTCTTTTTTCATGATGAACAAAGTGTCAAAACATAATTGCTTTATATTTTCAGTATAACTCCTGAGTGTATTAATAAACACGACTTCGATATTAAGTAGACCATTAAGTAGACCAGTATTATTCCGACAAAACCTCACATTTTTTTCTATTCTTGTACTTATTTCTGAATATAAAAATAATATAATAACTTTTATATAAAGTGATAAGACATATGGTAAGACTGTATGACTATGATAAGATGTATGAAAATCTTAATTGTAAACAATATTCTGTGTATTTTTTTCACTTGTTTTGTTTTAAGTTTATTTTTCAAAGCTTCATATATGTGATCAAAATGTTTTAAGACCCCTTTACGTAGACATAACAACTTAATATCTCGAGACCTGACCTAATCCAGTTAAACATAAATTAAGAAAAAGATGTACACATTTATAAAGCATGTATGTTTTTATTTTATTTTAATTTTTGAAAACCATAGAATTATTTTTATTCAAAAAAACAATATATATGATTTTAGTGCGCACAAAAGAAAGCATACATTGTGTCAAGAATATATTGTTTGACTGTGTTATCCTTGTATAATGTTGTACAATCTATCATGTAAACAATAGTCAGATAGTTTTCTCGTTAGAATTATTTACCATTTTTCATGTTGGAGCCTTTTATAGCTGATAATACTGTATCGGATTTTGTCATTGCCGAAGGCCGTAAGGTGACATATAATTGCTTGTATCTTCGTCATTTGAACTCTGGTGGAAAGTTGTCTCATTGGCATCATACTACATTTCCTTATTTTTATATTACAAAT